GGCCCTAGTCCACATCGGCATGGGGATGAGGTGCTTTTCCAGGGATTCTCCCCTGGAAAAGCACCCTCCCAATGCTAAGTGCATGTGCCCTGCCCTGCCAGCCTGCAGCCCGGCTTAAGAGTCTGGTATGGAATTTTAGGGGGGGACCAGTATTTTCTTTTCATATTTTTGGCCTTGGGGTCCCCCTTAAAATTCCTACTAAGCCTAAAGGGTCTGGTATTAATTGCCAGGGGAACGCACATTGTTTTTTGTTTTTTTTTCAGGGGGTAACATTCCTACCAGACCTAAAGGGTCTGGTATGAATTGTCAGTGGGACTGCCCGCTGTTTGTTTGTTTTTTATTATGTTAGTGGACTGTTTAACAGTTTTGTGTATTCTGTGACAGCTGTCAGATTCTTTGTCAGCAAAGAAGCTGTTACAGAATAACACAGATCTCTCAGCTTCTTTCTTTACATTTTGTAACAATTTTCTGTTACTTTGTTTTCATTCAGGATACAAGTCCAGATTGTCAACAAAGAGCAGAGAAACTGGAGAGCTATAAATTACAGCTCTTCCACTTCTTTCGTTTGTTCTGAATGAAATGTGGATGCGCCCAAATATCTGAATTTACAGAAATCGCACATGTCTAGTATTTCATACCAAAGCTAATGGATGATTGCAAACATATTTCTTCCTATCCTGCCTTGTACACCTCTACACTCGCCACTAATTCAAATTGCCTCCCGCTGACATAAAATTAGGGACAAGTGTAAAATTAAGGTGAAAACAGAATTGGAACAACTCTAGCAACTACATAAAGACAAGCCCACATATTAAACTTGACTTGTACATATAGACAATGTTGGCTTTGTGCCTTGTAGGCAGGCTGAAGACAAAGTGCGTCGCATAATACAGCTAATCCATTTAGCCTACTTGTGATCTGTAGAAACATTGCTGCTCTCTTTGGATGTGTACAAAGATTTTGACATACTCTTATAGCAATACATGTTCTTTGTTCTGCCTAAATGTTTATTGGGCGATGACTTCCTAACCTGGGTCACTGCTCTCTATGTCCAACCATCATCTGCAGCAATAAAATATGCAGGCTCCATTCCTGAACCCTTTCCTATACTCCGGGGAACCCAGCAGGAATTGTATCCATCTTGGCTCTAGAGCCCCTAGCAGTTAACAACCCTCACAAGATACTGGCACTGAATATAATGTTAAATGCTCAAATTCTCCATTAAAATCCAAGCAAACAACAGTTTCACTTGGCCAACAACACTGCCATGTCTGGGTATCCACATCTCCACCTTCTTTGGCTCTTTACACAAAGCTAATTTCCAGCCCCTTTTTAGGGTATTTTTAAATCTCTTGACAACTTAGCATTCCTTACCCATATACTGGTATTGCAGAATGCCTACTATTAGTATACTATGCATACTATTAAAATGTCTTTCCTTTCAAGACTCCTTTGCTACTTCCAGGTCTTGCCTGTCCCTATCCCTTGGCACATACAGTATTTAACAGAGTAAAGGTGCCCATACACTGCTCGATTCTCGTACGAGAATCGCGGGAAATCCTGCGATCGTACGAGAATCGAGCAGTGTGAACGGAGACGCTAGTGAAAGGAGCACGCTAGAAAACCAGCCGAAAATCGTACGATTTTCGGCTGGTTTGAACGGTGCTCGGGAGACAAATGCCGAACGGGCCGGTGTGCGCACGCGCACACTGCTCGTTCAGCATTGCGGTCATCAGAAGCCCGCCCCTCAGGGGGGCGAGCTTGCGATGATCGAAAGTACGATCTGCCTGTCCAAGATGGGCAGATCGTACGTTTCTTTAATCACTTTACAACCATCGCAAGACTAAGGTCTTGCGATGGTTGTACAGTGTATGGCCACCTTAAAGATTTTCAAATCAATCTGGTAGTCACATAGGGCTAAACTCGCTCTCCACATTCTTCATCACTGCAAACTAACTGGAGGCTTAGTGTCCCACATTTATGGAAATACTATACAGTGGCCCAGACAGCACCTCTAGCATCTCTACATGTAACCATTGAACTACCCGTGCATGCCATAGCCCTCTTATTTTCTCTTCACTGTCTTTGCAGGTACATAACATGTATAAATTACCTTAAATAACCATATAATCTGGAAAGATTGTTTTTGAAATTAATGGTCTGACAGCAGGGTCTCTAACTGTGTGTGGTTTCTTTCACCTGGCTGTGCTGTGTAAATCTGAGGACTGGGTGGACTGAAATCCTTTGGCAGGAAAAGCTCCCTTGTATATATTTCATATGTGTGTTTATTAGTGATAGGAAGTCCGGCTCTTTTAGATTAATCAGTTATTTCCGAACAGTTCATTCAAATGAACCGATTCATGAATCAATTCATCGGTTTACTTCCGGAGTCTGCTGACAAATAAGTGAACTGAAGCTCAGGAGCTGACTAACCAACTAAACAACAAGATATTTTAAAGTGAATTAGCATTAAAGAGACATGCATCCCTTCTCAAATCCTACTTGTTTGGTATGTTCTATCAGACTGGCCTAAGACAGGTCCGAAGATCTAGGGGGCGTGGAAATCTCAGGACCGGAAGCAAGTAAATATTATTAAATAGGAGGTTGAAATTTATTTTTTATATTATAAAAATGAGACAGCTCTCTCATTCAGTTATATAGCTGCTGAATGAAACAGATGTCTCAGAAGGGATGCTTGTCCCTTTAACATCTTGAGGTGAAGCAAACTAGATCCTAAAGGTTTAAAGCATCAATCTGAATGAGGCTCTCCTCTCATCCAGACTGTGTGCGTCATCTCTCTTATCGCCCTGCAAAGCTGTCTGAAAGGCTGTCCTTCCCTTACCGTGAAAGGCTGTCCTTCCCTTACCGTGAAAGGCTGTCGTTCCCTTACCCGTGAGTCCCCAGTAAAACACAGTACACTGAAAGAATTCAGTGTACTGTTCTACTGGTGGTGACTGATGATTCTTTCAGTGTACTGTGTTTTACTGGAGACTCACGAGTCTTTGATTATTTCAGTGTACTGTTCTACTGGAGACTCATGATTCTTTAGCAGGCCATATATCTATAGATTGTCTGCAGATTTTCTATGGTCAGATGGAAAAAGTACAACAGATTCCTCCATCTATGCTAAATTGCGTGGATGGAGGAATCTCCCGCTGGGCCAAGCTTCAGTATCTTGCTTGTCGGCCCCGCTGGGCCAATCTTCAGTATCTTGCTAGTAGGCTCCGCTGGCTGTCAAAATACCTGAACACTCTGATTGGATGCAGGCATTGTTCAGGTGTTTTGGGAGCCAGCAGGGCCAACTAGCAAAATACTGAACCTTGGCCCAGCGGGAGATTCCTCCATCCACACAGTTTAGCGTAGATGGAGGAATCTATGGCACTTTTTCCATCTGACCATAGACCATCTGCAGATAATCTATAGCTGTATGGCCAGCTTTAGACTCTTTCAGTGTACTGTGTTCTAATGGAGACTCTTGATTCTTTGATTCTTTCAGTGTACTGTGTTCTACTGATTCTTTCCGTTTACTTTTCTACTGGAGACTCATGATTCTTTAATTCTTTCAGTGTTACTCTGTTCTACTGGAGATTGATTCGGTAACTGTTCTACTGGTGTCATGATTCTTTGATTCATTGTACTTGTATACTATTGCCTCAGAACTGTTGTAAGCTTGTAACCAGTTGTTGGTTGTCAGCGTACTGTTAGCTGCCTGATTGATTGCAGGGAGGGGCTGGCAGAAGCTGACCTCTCTCACACTAGGATCATATTAGTGCTGCGGCCCTGTTGATTCAACACAGAACTGTTTCAAATTAATCAGTTCAGTCTGATGAATCAATTCATCCAGTTCACTGAAAAGAATCGATTCAAAGGAATGATTTGTTCATGAACTGGTCATCACTAGTGTTTATCTAGAGCTTAGCTTTATGTTTGTGTTCCATGTATCTGTACTGCTCCTGTGTTGTTATCATTGACTTTGCATGTTATCAAGAAAATTGTACATGTACATACATGCCCATCCTGTGTAAATATGTGTATGATGTTTGGTGATGTATCTTTAGTATGGCTGGATTGTAAAATAAATATTTATTTCATATAAGCTGTAAAACATTAACACAAAAAAAAACCCCAAATACAAATAGTCTAATATTACAGGAAGGTTCACGCAGCAATAACATGTAAGAATATGTTTCTTTTTTGACACATATTAAACCTTTTTGGAGCTGACAGCACACTGTCAAAGATCAAGAAGAGTATGTCTAGGAACAAAAATGATCCATATTTAAAGCTGAACTCAAACCTTTCATTTAAATATATTCTTAAATATCCACAATGAATATAAATCCACTTTGTGTGCACCAAATGCCTTTGCAGTTTTTACCAAAGTAGTAGTGATATAATGACTGTGCTGTACAAAGCCTGTACAGAAAGCAGAGCTTTGGGAGGAGCCCAGAATGCCCCACCCACTACAAGCTGCCTGCAGAAAACTATGAGAAGGGGTATATACAAGACCAGTCACCCTGCACAAAGAGATGGAGAAGCAGTGACTGGTCTTAGTTACAGGAAACACCTGCATAAACGAACATTCTCCCACTAGGTTACTGCACGGATCTGGAAGAATTAAACAAAGTACACCAAGGTTCAAGTAAGAATACACATGACTCTTGATTTTAGACAATATTTGTTTGTCCTGGAGTTCAGCTTTAATGAAGGGAAACAGAGTTGCTGCCCAATGCACCCAGACATTTTATAATTCAGATTAATATGTTACTATATCAAGTTGCTGTAGATTCTGCTCCCTGATTAATTTCTTCATATACAAGTCTTTGTAAATATGGCAGGTAGAAGAATGATATTCCCTGTGTGGGTATACACACACAATACTGCAATAGGTGTGGCAGAAATCCTTGTCTTGTGATTGCATTGCTGTGCTTAAGTTCCATTGAAGTTCTTAGCTCAGTCTTCTTTTTCATGAATGGACCCCTGTAAAAGGGCCTTGCATTTCACTACTATATTAGCAGCTGGTTACATTGTGTTACTGCCACACTGGCTTAGTGGCATGTTCAGTTCTTAAACATGTCACAGAGGAGTTTCTCCATGGGAGTGTTTCCAATGGTGCGGTGGAAAAACAGAAGCTCTATGCGTTCAGAGGAGATGAATCGAAGAGATGGAGACAGTAGAAGCAGCTTTCCAAACCTAATGAAATAGAAATCAATGTGTCAAGTTAATGGCTTATCCCTTAAGTGTAACATTTTATTTTGTTACCCCCACCTACCCTCAATCAGTCTTATGCTGGCCATTCACCGGCAGATTTTTGTATGAACATTCATACGAAAAAAATCTCATCAGAATATTCAATAATGCCATCACATTTGACGAATGTCGTTCACAATTGCGTTTGAAAAAAGATTTTGCTAAATACCACATTTCGATCACTGAAAAAATTTCAGTCCTGCTCCTTTGATTTTTTTTTTTGTCATTGCAGTTAAGACCAATTTTCAATTTGACCCCATTAAAGCCATTGAAGCTTTTTTTTTTTTTAGTTTTGACTAGAGTAAGGGCGGGTTATAACCACGAACAGTGTTTTTTTTTGTTTTTTTTGCTGTGTCCCACTGGAGATATTTTCCTTCACTACCTGTGCATTAGCCACAACAGGAAGTGGGAGGAAATCCCTCCAAATAGAGGGAAGTCCCTGGCCGTCAACAGAGTCACCAGAACTAGTGTTCCCATTGGAAGTGTCCCCAGAATTTGTTATTTTCTTTGACTTTCAGTGATAACGGTCACCAGAATGGAGGCCCTTTCACACGGCCGGTCCGATCAGTTTCCGCCTGTCAGTTTTTCAAGCAGACCCGATTGGATGCCAAATGTAAGTCTATAGGCAGCCATGTGTAAATGGACCGGCGTCCGTTTACACCCGGTTACCCCCGACTCAGGACAGATCCTGAAAAACAAACGGATCAGAGATCTGTTTCACCAGACCAGATCGTGCCCGGCACGGGGGTAATCTGATGTAAACAGACACATGTCCATTTACATCCGAATCCCCATAGACCACCATGGGGTCTGGTAATTGCAGTTTTTACTACATCATAAGATGGAGGAAAAAACTGTACGGACACGGATGTCACAGCGGTGACATCCGCTCATTACTGATATGTTCAGGAGAGGATCCGTGCTCAGCCCTTGTGAAAGGAGCTTCACAGGGACACGGGCAGTAATAAAAACCTGAGAGGAGTTCTACTCCCTCTCTAATCTCTCCAAACTAGAAAAAGTTTTGGCTTCAGTTGCACTTTTACTATTAGGAAATCAAGCGGATGTTGAAAATCCAAAACAAACTTCTACTTGAACATTTTGCATTACAGTATTGTCTATTAATGAGCTGATACTTTCCATAAACTTCCAGTCAGTAATATCACAATAGGCTTCATGGAGACACCTGCCAAGAGTCTCCCACTTCTTTAACCCTTTCACTGCCATGTCAGGCTCCCATTTTCCACGTTAGGTGGCCAGGCCATTTTTCCTATTTTTCACTTAAAGCTTTGAAAGTTAAAAGACCTCCAGCGGGGTTTTTTTTTTTGTTTTTTTTAAGCACGGGGCTTGTAGGATTAAAAGATGGCACTGCATCCTATGATAGTTGCACAAATATTTATCAAATCTATATTTTTCAATGAAAATATACTAAAATCAATTTTACTGTAGTGCACACAAATACAACAGAACGTCTTACAAAATCGAAAAGGTAAACCTGCAATAATATCAATACATTAATGTTAATACATTTGGGTTGTGGTAATTCAAAGTCTGCAGCAGTGAGTTGCAGTGCCATTCATTTTTAATGGCACCCCATTAAATGGTACCAAAGCGTTTCAATACATATGTGTTTCAACGCACAAGAATGGGAAGCATCTCTGTGTTGTAGTGCACAGCATAGAAAAAGCGCTTCATGTATGATTGTATGTGCATTGTAGTGTGCTGGCACTGCATCAAAAAAAGAATGCATGTTAAAATATTATTCATAAAGCTCATTAAGGAGACACTGTCACTTTGCCCATTCAAAGCAAACTGACAGTGTTGGGGAAAAGCCCCCTCCCCCATGAACAAGAGTGATCCCCTATCAGCCCATTTAGATTTGTGTGTTCTACTACTACATGTTACTACAGTGCCCATCAACATGTGCTACAGTGCATTGCAGTACCATTCAATTTAAGCAATGTAGCTACACATATGTCACGTGTTGTGGTGTGCTGCATTTTATAAAAGGGTCACGTAGGCCCATTAACATTTCTGTGTTGTAGTAATGCATGCATCACCAAGTGCATTATCAAGTGCATGTGTTGATGTGCCATTTATTTGGAAGGGCAGCCTTAAGGCCCCATTCACACCTGACCGTTTTGTAGCGCGTCCTACGCTCGATGAACGCTCTACAAAACGGTCAAAAAAATAAATAGCATTGTAGTCAATGGTATCGTTCCCACCTGTCCGTATTTCCGCCCGTCCCGAACGCTCTACAAAACGGCCCACGCATGAAAAGGTCCCGGAGCGTTTTTTGCTGCGTATTGGTCCGTTTTGTAGGGCGTTTTCCATTTGTATACTGCCAAGTAGCCTTTGGGGTCGCGCGACTTTTTTACCGCGAATCGCGGTAAAAAAAAACGTGCGACAGACGCGCATATTACAATACGCATAGGTGTGAATGGGGGCTAAGCCTTACACAATGCACGTTAATGTCCAACATTACCTGGCCCACAGACTTATGAAAAAGGTAAGTATGAAAAAAGAGCAAACAAACATGCAGGGCACTCTTCATGAGGAAGATACAGTTGGTGGCATGGAGGTTGAGGCTGAATTTGGGGTTTAAAGTGTATTTCCACTTTTGTAGCCAAATTGGGATAACACCCACAGTATTTGGTATTTCTTACATGTTCTGATACACACTTCATAACAAAAAACAATTGCCGCTTACATTTTTAAATGCTTTTTACTTGCTTAAAATTCCTACATCTAGCTTCTAGCATCTAGCTTCCCCTATGTAATGTTAAGGAGAGGGTTGCGTGAAGTTATGTTTACTCTAATTAACCTTGTCTGTACAGTGATGGCAGATTTCGAATCTGGGCATTTTACCAGTCAATTTAGCAGTTATCTTTTTATTCAGCAATGTCCAGGATACTTAAGTGTTTAGCGTTTCCAGGCTCTCATCATTGTTAACTGCCTCCGGGCCGGCCGTAGTAGAAAACCGGCCGGCCCGGAGCTCTCTAGATCTGAGCGGGCGTCTTTAGACGTCCACACAGACACGCCCGCCCGCGCGCGAAAGGGGGAAATGGCTGTTATTTAAAAACAGGCAGCGATGCCTGTTACCATACAAGAGATCCGCCGGCTGTAGAGCCGGCGGATCGCGTGTATGGGTGCCGATCGGTCCCCCCCCCCGTTGTCCCGCTGATCCCGGGCTCCGCTTTGCCCGGTGCGAGCCCGGGATCAGCATGTCGCCTGTGTCACAGGGGATCAGAGGGAGATTGTTACATGAGCTCCCTCCGGTCCTCTCTCCTCTGCAAGAATGCGGAAGTGTTGTATAATACATCACTTCCGCATTCTTGTGCCACTCTCCAGCTTCAGAAGCTGGAAAGAAGTTGATGGAGCAAATCTGTGCTTCATCAGCTTCTTTTGGGGGGTCCTAGGTGACATTAGGGGTCTTGGAGACCTCTGATGTCTCCATAAAGAGGACCTGTCACATATTTTGCTATCACATAGGGGAGTTTAATTAGCCCTCGTATGTGATAGCAATGAAGTTTAGTGGGGAAAAAAAAGGGGGAAAAAAAAGGGGGAAAAAAATGAAAAAAAAAAATGTAAGTCCCCCCCCCAAAAAAATTTAAAGTTGCACAGGTTACATATCGCCGCGAACGTCGGAGTGAGAGCAATAATTCTAGGGACATCAATGACTGATAACACTAAACTGATGAGCGGTAAAAGCTTTTAAAGTGTCGCCTATGGCCAATTTTGGGTATGGTAGTTTTCTGCGATTTCGCGGGTGCGTGCAATTTTTAAGCATGACATGTTTGGTGTCTATTTACCCGACGTGACCCCGACTTTTATACTTTACCAAAAAACTGGGTAATAATAATTGTTTCCTAACAATGTAAAAAAAAAAAAACTTTTTTTTTTCAAAATTTTCTGTAATTTTTCCTAATTATAATAAAAAATTAAAGCCGCAGTGGTGATTAAATACCACCAAAAGAAAGCTCTATCTGTCTCCCAAAAATTGTATAAAATTCATTTCAGTACAGCGTTGCATGACGGAATAAACGTCAGTCAAAGTACCGCAGCGCTGAATACTGAAAAATAGCCCGGCCAGGAAGGGGGTCTAAACACCTAGTCTTGAAGTGGTTAATATCTTAAATTGAGAATTGGGGTCAAATATATTTTTTTTTAATAAAACACAAAAAGCCACAGTCTAAAAATATAAACAAATGATAATAAAAATGTGCCTTTTTATTGCTGAAACATTTGAAAGAGAACTCAAGACAGTTTATTTGCTGGCCGCAGTAAAAGCTCCTGTTGCAGCTTACTAGATTTATATCATTCTATACCATATTATAAAAGAAAATGTGACCAATACATTATTACCGGGCAAATGTGAAAACAGAAAATATTAACACCTGAAGGTGAATTTTTAAATGTAATTACCTGACTGGCTGGTTGGGATAATGATTTCTAGTATGCTGAGCCAACATCATCTGAGACTGATCTTGTAGGTTTTCCACTTGTTCGGGGTCTTTAAGGCCTCTGGTCTCTGAAATACAGCAAGAAGTACGATTTAATCAGAGAAGAGAACATGAATTTCAGTGCAGAAATTGATACTTGGGAACAATTTATGATTTATTTTTTAATACCTACCAGGTTTAAAAAGGAGTACTGCCTTCATGCAAGCAAATTCTGTTGGGTCAACACTTAATGATTTAAAACGACCGATTGTTTCTTGAAGGATTCGTACATCCACACTGGAGGAGATAGCTTTACCATGAACACTGGAAGATAAGTCAGGCACAGACAACAAAGGGCAGCTGTCAAGCGGCATAGACCATTGGATAGCACAGAGAAGAAATAGTTCACTCCATGCTTCTTCTAGAAGGATGACCTACATGAAGAGCATAACAAAAAGAAATGGTAATTAAGGCTTCTGCATAGCCAGATACACAAAGTTTAGGAGTTTAAGCATGATGGTTTCACAGATTGAAGCTATATACAACATGGGCACATTTTAGTGCTCCTGCACTGAATAAGCAACCTGTACATTGAGTTTGCATGTTATCCCTGTGCTCGCATTTTTTTCCTCCGGTTACTCCGGTCTCCTACCACACTCCAGACATGCTGGTAATTTAATTGGCTTTAGTCTAAATTGGCCCTTGTATGTGTGCATGTGAGAAAGGGATTTTAGATTGTAAGCTCCTTGAGGACAGGTGTACATTTCTTTGGTGTAACCACAGGGTCACCAAGTCAGCACAACATTGTAGAATATACATCAGCAATTTCTCATCTCACCTGATCTCTGAATGGAAGGTTGGAGAAGACTGGCAGGTTCTTTGCCCATTTCACCGCCATAAATAGGAGTCGGGCAGAGGTTTCATACACCCCTTCTGGACTAGATGTGATAAAGGCAGACATCTGAAAGTCATTAGGAGTGTGTTCTGGCTCATTACTTGTAACATCTATGTTCTCATCAGCTGCAAGAAAAATAAGGTATATGAGAAGTGTCAACACTTGCAATTCTTTCTACAGTATTTATAGTTATCTAATTTGTAAAATGCAGTGACGTAAACCTGTACTTATTTTAGGCAACCATGAAGAAGAGAAGATGTAATTCATAATTACCATATACATAGCTGTTTTTAGTGTTGACTTCACACTATTAAAAGATTAAAAATCGAATCTATTGAGCTTGTGCATGGACATTATGAAAAACATTATAGGAAGATATATGTGTTTCACACAATAGTGCTGCTCTTTACATTCTCCCCACTTGTCATTTACAAGTCTTAAACCCTATTGCACAGGTTATGGTACAAGCAAATAAGGATGTGGAAAGTAACTGCAGTCTGTGAAGAGCAGTGAGTGGCATACAGGGCAGCAATGATCAGACACATGAAGCCCATTCCTTCGTCTTTGTTTTTCTCAAAGCATACTTAAAAAGCAGTACATGCTTTAGTTTAAAGGCACTTAAAATTCATTTCTGCTTTTTGCAGTGGTTCCTAATTGCCATTTTCATCAGGTCCTGTCATTATGGTGACATTAAAATGTCAGTAAAATTCACAAGCTGAAATTCTAGTATTTCTGTAAGAAAAAAAGTCAACTCTGATCTATTAAATGCTATGACATTACTACTGGACTGCTCTTAGATTTATGTATAAGTTAATATGCTTGAATGAATAAAGAAATGGCAGTTAAATACTTATATCCATGTTAAACCATATATACCTTCTTCTGGCTCCAGTTTGGCGCAAGTCTCTGCTGTCATCAAGCTAGCCATGAATCGGTGGTTATGGGGTGGACTCAGGGTTCCTGATATGTTATTTGGGACAGGGGTTCTCAAGTTGTTCACTGGTGGACAGGAAGGAGGAGGCTCCCGAGTGGTTGCCAAGTGTTCAGAGCGGCTATCTGTCTCTAGCTCAATACTGTCCAGTCGAATTTGCGCTGTACTCCGGGGCTGACGCTCATTTTGTACAGCTGAAAAAAAGCAGAATAAATCTGTTCATCCTTGAACTGTTGATACACTTCGGAAAGCTATCTGCTTTTGTCCTTTCCGTGTGTATTCTACTCTTCCATCTGTAGTTGAGTATTTGTTATACTTAATATTTGTCATTTGAAAACTTCTAATTAAAGAATGCAAAAACAAAAACCCAGAATAAATCATAGCCCATTATAGCACTATTTTTATAGAGCAGTAATACATTATAAGCTACCTAAGAAAGCGGGGAAGGAGCTTACCATCCTTGTTCATGCCCGTCTGAAGGCATTTTTTCAGTCTGCAAGCCTGGCACTGATTTCTATGTGCTTTATCCACTGGACACATCCCTGTCCCAGCCTGGCATCTGGAGCGCAAAGTAAAACAAAAAGGCTGTTCATATAAATGTTCAATTATTTTACATTAAAGAAAAATAAGTATGGATCTCTCTCTAGAAAATTGACTGCAAGAAAAGAAAACATTTTCTAAAAAATGTGCACATGATCACCACAGGTTTGTTTTAGCTAACACAGCCTTTGCAGCCAAAATGGCATCATGCTTAATATTATGAAGTCATAATTTGTTAGAGCTTGTTCTTGTGTCTCTATGATTAGGCTTTTTTGGCAAAACATGCGAGAGCCTGTGGATCTTATCATGCTTGTAAAGATTAAGATTCCTGGGAATAAACTTTTTTACATTGAGGTCCAGGTTGTTGAGTGCAGCTTTAGATACATTGGATTAGAAGTGACAGCCATGGTGTTCCTCTGTCGGCTTTTAGGACAGGATGAGTTTGGGCATATGAACATGAGCGGTGTCTTTTTCACAAACTTTTCTGTTAGAGCTTGGGTTGCATACAGCACTGCAATAGTACAGTCATTAGTAAGGCAGCACCCTTTTCTTTACTGGTTTATAAATACATGTTAAATATCAATCTATAATTTCGACATTTCAGAGAAATGAAAACTGGAAACATTGTGGTTTAGTAATCATCCAGCCCTAATAAACAATAACTAGAACAGGTCATAGTGTGTAAAGCAGGTTTTTTGTACAATATATTTAAGTATAAAAAAGACCCAAAGCATTCTAGATAATAGATTAAAAATCAGTCACTGGAAAGGCCAATTAACGTAATTTTAAAGTCATATTAAGGCATAAAGTACCTGTAATTTATGAAGTTGTTAGGTCTAAAGAGGTAAAATGTTGTGTCATTGAGATATGTTATTTTCGTTTTTTTATAAAAAAAAATTAATTTCCAAAAATGGTTTGTTTTTCCCTATATCCCAAGTATGCATAACATCGTGTTAATTTATACTTCTAGAAAACATTCTCCCCCATAGTAACAAAGGGAATGTTCTGGACTCAAAATTTTAGCTTACATTTTATTGGGGATGAAAATGCAACTCCTAACTGTATGCAAAATATGTACATCCGAAATAAAGCGAACTCTAATTTTTGGTGATTTTGGTGAATTAGAACAATCCACCGATCTGTCAATGCACTCCTCCATTTTAGAGTGCATTGTTCAGCAAATATTTCATCATTTTTCGTTTTTTTTAGAACAGAGTAATAAATAGGAAGTTGAAAAGTTGACATCCAGTCACGTACAATGTAAATGAATCTGTAATGATGCAATTGTTACATTCTTACACTGACATGAACAGAATGTCAAGGAAGAATTCTGTAAAGCTGTATACAGTAAGTGGACTTACCGGTAGATAAGCTTTCGGCGAACACTCCTTTTGAAGAAACCACTGCAACCGTTGCAAGCAAAGATGCCGTAGTGCTTCCCACTGCTGCTGTCACCACATACTCTGCACAGCAGAGCTGGGCTAGGGGCTGGACCTGGGGCAGGACTAGGAACTGGAAGGAAAATCAAAGAGGTAAGTACCACACTTTGCAATTCATTTTCTGCATGGCCAGCATACATCTGTCTCCTACATTCTAATATCTAGAGATACAACCAAAGTATTCCAGCCAAACAAATTACATTCCGAGGTCTTGTTTATCAAGGTGTTACAGCACACCCTGCAATTATATTTCAATTCTTAATCTTATAATATAATTTTTCAATGTAAGTGTGGCTCAGACTCTTTGCTTTCACTAAGATCTTTTAAGACACTTTAAAAAATAGGACCCATAGGCGATTTCCAATGTATTTGATTTTTCTTTTACAAAGGTGTTATTTATTTATTTATTTTATTTAATAAAAATTACCATAGATAACCATAGACATAGATAACAAAGACATTAAAGACGATACAGGCAAATATGGAAATGCTTTTATTACAGCATTAGACATCGAGAATCCATGCATTATATCCAGAGCCACAGGTATGACAAACCCAATACAAAATTACATTAAGGCAAGATATAAAGCATACATTGATCTTACTGAACCATAAGGCCAAAGTCAATGGTCAAGGGCAATCACAAGAGGGGTGCACTGGTGGGAGAGCAAATGGACACAAAGGTGCCCATTGCCCCTAATTTTCCCACCATCTATGCGCATCACCAGAAACTATCAGTAATTCAGGAATTAAATGCCTGTCTAAAAGAAAGAAGAAAAACCTAGTAAAGAGAACACATGAAAAGAGGTGAAAAGGTAAGACCAGAGAAGGAAAAGAGAACAGGGAAGGAAGGGGAGAAGTGGGGTGGGGAAATAGGGAACCACAAAGGAGCATGGTTGCCCGGACTAATAGACCCAATTATCATCTCAGCAACGACTGATCAAAGCCATGAGAGGTATTTGATTTTTCAAATTCCTAGCATCTCAGCATGACACTTTCATGCATCTGCAAATACAAAATGTGGTATAAATAATGTTTACCACATTGTATTAACATAATTAGTTTGATGTTGTAAATAACTGTATTCTCTCAATGTATTTCTGATATGGAAATAAATCAACAATGCATTTTACAAAGATATTGAGGCTAAATTTCAAATTGATGTTCATTGAAATGAGGGGATTCTTGTTTTTTCCCTACATGCAGTAAAAGAGGCATGACTTTGTAAAAACCTATTTCTACCCATATCCTTTATTAATGAGACTGGATTAAACAAACTGAGACAATGTCATTCCTGTCTTAAATAAAGGAGGTGGATAGTGTCCTCAAATTCTGTATTATTATTATCACAGGTATTTAACTGACAAAAAAATACATGAATCTTTGCAACAAATAAATGGGTGGAATAGGAATATCAATAAATGTGCCTTACCTGACTGACTTTCTTCTGCACTGGTACTAAAAACGGATCCAGTGGGTGAACTCATGTCACCTTAACTTTCTAGAGTATTTCCTTAGATGATTCTCCTCTTAACAGGTTCTAAGCTTCTTTCAGAGGTGTGAACAGTCTGTCAATTTGACATATGAGCCCAGTTTCTCTAAATTACCCAGTATATTGATTGAGGCAGCTCATATGTCGTATCATAGTATGGAAGATCCAAAAATCAGATGATTCTGCAGAAGGTGAAGCTCTACAGAGTAGGAATGAAGAGGTTTATCAATCTCTTGCTCCTGTCTCTGTTCAGGAGTTTTCGTAGGGCCTGGAGATTAGCTCCTAACGCTGTGTAAGCAGATGCCTCTTGTCATCCTCTTAATCTTTACTGTCTATGAGAAGGTGGAGCAGTCACCCATCTCTATGGAAAATAAGCATGGAGCCCATTCTGTTATGTGAAGGTTCAGTATTTAGCTAGGCAGGAGACTTCTGCATTTGTCCGTTAACCTCAGACCATTCCAAATGCTGATATTTTGCATAACAACCTATATTTACTATAAACGATTATTTATCAGAAAACTCCACCTTAGACAAAGATGTAGATATCCTATATAACGGCGACACCAGAGATTTTGTCATGTAAATTATTGGCAATCACCTTTTCACTTCAATCTGCATGTAGCATTTTGTTTTAAATTGGCAAACAATCAAACACTGGAAGCAACAGGGAGGCTATATATACAGCAGGCCCCCCAGAAATATAATTTCCTGCTTTTGTGATTGACTCAGTCCTATTTTTCAGAGGTCTGAACAAAGGTTGAGGAAAAAATGTAGGCATCTCCAGCTTTATCCTCAGATTTGTAGAAGTGAGTCTTTCATCCCAGGTGAGATGTTCTCATAGGGCACTGCATGTCTGGAGGAAAGTTGTAGATTACAGAGAGGCTGGTGGCAGGTTTAAATACATTTGGTGAAATAAAATTAAGCACTATTCAATGTCTAATATCATATCTATACAGAAAAAGGTAAAGGCATCTATAAAAACCCAAACTCTATGAAGCCCTCCTCAAACTACTAATAGTGACATATAAATTAATAACAATCAAATAATTCATCTTTACTCAGCTAAGAAGACATAAGCCACCTTGGATCAAGTACTATATGCCAAGCAAGATTTACCCAATTTAATCTAAATTAAATACTGGATTACTTATGAGCTATAGGTGAGCCTGCCCTATACCTCACCCCATCCTTTCCCATTTACCTACCAACTCTCCATCTCAATCTATTTGTACTACCCCCCTCCCATTCCTTGCCATTCGCTTCTTTGCAGATGCATTTCATTTATTTTTGTTATAATTTTTTTGTTTGTTGCAATATGTCAATAAGTTGTTCTATCATTTCTGAAGCTGTCCTAGACAATGTTCTCCTATTTTCACATACGATGAGGGAAATTGATCAAAACTGGAGCAGACAAAATCTGGAGCAGCCATCCATGACGACCAATCAGCTTTTATTTTTTATTTTCCAAGGATTAACTGAAGAAGTTGCAGATAGATGCTGATTGGTTACTTTGGGCAACTGCACCAGAGTGTCTGCCCCAGTCTTGATAAATTCTCCATAATGAGTGTCTATGAAACATGGAGACTCGTTATGGAGAAAATTGCTGCACAAGCATGAAATAGCTGCATTGGGGATGTAAGATGCACTCCGTGATTGCTTCAACTGTTTATTCAGAGACAATTTATTTGACAATTATTATCACCATTGTGAGGCACTGTACAGCAGGAAGCAGAACCCGCACGTGTTTTTGGCACATACAGCTGTCTATATAGAATGACATACTAGACATACTAAACATACTAAACATACTAAAGTTTTAACACATTTTTCTAATGTTATTTACATAACAATGATCTTGGATACCGATTAATGACATACTGAACATACAAAAGTTTCAGCACATATAGATATTATTTACATCAAGTCCATCAACCTTTCATTGACAACATTTCTTTCCCCTTTTATATTAGTACAGATTGATCAGCATTTTTTGTTACTATAAATAACACAGGAATATAATAGAGGCAATTGACTTGCTGGAGGTCAAGCAGCAATAGCACATAAAGCTGCATGTGGTCATCAAATTTGTTGAACATAAGCACACTCACAGGTACGGTCTACTGCCTTGCAATGCACACTGTCACTGACGAGGCTAAACAGCAATGGAATCCAATTAATCAAGCAATCAAATCGAGAGGACCATAACAAACAAACAAAAACACAGTTCACATTTTGAGCTTATTGTGCAGCCTTTATGAACTAATTACTGGAGGAACCCTTAAAAAATGTAAAGTCTTTGGGAATCCCTGTGTAAAACAAGTTATATTTACAGCTCATGGTACATTAGTATGGTCAATCAATTGTGAATATAATGATCAAATAATAGATGTGAATGTTTTGAGTAAAGAATTATATTTTATGTGTATCTGTTTATTCTTAGCAACTCATTATCCTACTCTTTTTGTTTGGTTGTCCCTCTGCCACAACTCTAGTGCAGATCAGTAGTGTAGTTAGAGAAGACATCAGTGTCTCTTATTTTATTTTTTTTCTGCATGATAATTTTTACCTTATCCAAGTAGTAAAACTGACTTTTTAAGAAGGGGAAATTCACTCTGATTCTGTACTACCTCAGTAGAGTTGCTCTTCCAAGTCAGTTGGCGGCAAAACAGAGGAAATTGGAGGACATAATTTATATGGGAGAAGATGACGTTATCATCCTACCATTTTCCTCTTCCTGCAATACAGCTTTGCAACATTTCTACTGAGCACTGCCATACAGGGCTGAAAGACCTCTAACAAGATGACTAATGTGGCTCATTGGTCACCAACTCAAACTTCCATGGCGAGAAGGCGTCGTAATGCATTGTGAGGCACTGTACCGCAGGAAGCAGAGCCCACACATGTATTGGGCAAATGCGGCTGTCTACATGGAATTACATACTAAACATACACAAGTTTTATCAAATTTTGCTAATGTTATTAATATAAAGATGATCTTGGTTACAGATTTAGGACATACTGAAGATAGAAACGTTTTAGCACATTTTGATAATATTATTTACAAGAAGATGATCTTGGTTACAGATTTATATGAAAAAAAAATAATGAAAATACAACATATTGCCTTTAATGTCCCAAAGGGAATGTACCAACAATATACAATGATGACTATCAGGCCATCAGTGTCAGATATAGTTTTATAATCAAATATGTATCCAATAATTTAAAAGATTGGCAACAGGTGCTAATTGTTGAGCATTACTACATTTCAAGCTGCATTTGGTAGGTTAGATACTGCTCACTTTTTGCTGAACTTTCTGCTGGTAAAGGTGGCTTCTGTAATTGTTGTTAGTGCCATTGGAAAGGTTTTTACTTTTTTTATGAGTCACTTACTGCAGTGTATAAAATGTTATCATCATTGTTAAGTGGAACATGAGGTAATAACCGTATGCTTGGTTTGGTTTGTTGTCGAAAACAAGAAAATGGTTCATATTAATGGTATGTGGTTCTCTATCTGCAGAGCGACAGCTGTAGGGTCAGACAATAAATGGTGGTAATTAGAAAAATCCTTCAATAATCCATTTATCCAGAAATTATAGACCCAGCAGAAAATACACAAGACAATTAGCTGACAAATGTGTTCAAAGCTCAGGAATCATGCAGCAGATGGTGGGTTTACTGAAAGGGCACAGTGACTGAGGGGCTTCTCTACCTTATGTGACCTCAGTATGGATTTCCACTTACTACATTTATCACTGGTAAGAAAGCCGTTTTTAGGAGCCTCAATGATTGACATAAGTTTCTATAAAATAAAAGGGACAGTCAGGTGTGCAATAAAACAGGGTAGTTTCTACAGACCCTAATTGTATTTGACATCTAGACTAATGGGTTGACCTAAGGAGAAGAGAACATTAAGTTTGCAAAGTGACTTTTTTACTAAGCTTAGTGAATGAGGTGAAGTGAAGTAACAAAATTCTTTGCAAAGAATCACGTGCATGGAAAACAAAACAAAACAAAAACGGTATTTTTGCTTGCACACAAATGGATAAAGTCAGCAATCAACCCTATTGTAAAAAATAAACTGCAAGATGTTGTTAAGGGTGAAAGTGAACATTGAATATTCCAGGTTTATTCAAGCAGTAAAATATAGTAATCTATAGCAACCAATCTGAAATGATCACTGAGTCATAGGACTCCAGTAAATTAAATCTGGGGTACTTAGCTTACTGCACTTTGCTTTTTGCCCTGGCACAGGTAATGTCTGCCAGTGTTTTAGTGATATGGTTTCACAGTCAGAGGTTGTGTCCACTGAGATAACTCAAGTTCCCACTTCATAAAATGTAGAATGGCACTTCTGTAACCATAGATACTTCAAAGTTTAGGGGAAACGGGCAGACAAATATGCATTGAATGGATATACATACTGTACATTTCATCCTAAAGGTATAAAGATACAAAACACATTAACAAACTAGTGTTGAAGGTCATTAAAACCATTCTAAACTCCTTAGCACTCCTATCTACTGCTGGCCCTCACATCTAGGATGAAGGGATCAGAAAGGAGTGTGTTCAGAGCCAACGCAGTTGTTAAACCCATAATCCTCTGCTAATACGTTTACACATTGCATTAAAGTGAGACGCAAGCAATTACTGTATGAGCAACAACAGCACAGAGCAGGCCCCCTCCCAGCAGCAGTAATTAGAAGTCTTATATACTGATAGGATAAATTGGCTAAGTCGGGATACTTCTCTCAACTCTGTGTTGCACTTAATAGGAGATCACTGTGTAGCTACAAGTCAGAGCTGTTTGAAAATATAAATGTTTTTTGGTGTCTTGTCCCAGTTTTGAAGAACTAAATTTTAAATTAAATGTTTTATTGCAAATAAAATTGTTTAGAATATGATTATATTTCACAACATGGGTTCCATTACCTGTTACATGATAACTGTTAGCCTGAAATGCAGGGATAGTGTTTGGCTTTGGAAATTTTCCTCTGCACAGTTTGTCACCGCCTTTGATTAAAAAAAATTACAATTCATAATAATGGCTCA